AAGAAGTGGGTACTGTTGATACAGAGATCGCTGTACGTAGCTCTAAGCTCGATCTCACACTCCACTATGCTGCAACGACGGATCCAGAACACAGAAGCGTATTAGACCGCATTTCATTAGAAAATTAGAATCGTAAAAAATATAATGATTATACTTTTTTTTATATTGCAAAATGTACACGACGGTACATTAATTAAGTGAATGCATGGAGTCCACATCCATACCAATAGTATACACTATTTCAAATAAAATACTTGAGCAATTGGCGAGAAATTCATCGCTCATTTTGTTGTGCAAGTAAATGTTTGGGTTAATATTTTTGTATGGCCTGAACTTTGACCAAAATAAACATCCTGGCCAATCTTTTCGATCTATAACATCCTGGCCCGAACTATACACCAAGATAAACAATTTGGCCAGATCCGACTTTTGACCGTTAACTTGGACGGTCAAATGCGTTGACCGTTAGTCAACGCGCCATGTCACTGCCAAGTCAGCATAAAATATTTAAAATAATTCACAATTTCCACACATTTCCTAATTTTAAATTATTATAAATTAAAAAAAATCATCTAATACCTTAGTTAAACCAAAAATAAAAAACAAAAAAATTAAATATTTATCAGATCTTATGACTTGGCAGTGATGTGGCAGTGACGTGGCGCATTGACCGTTAGTCAACGCGTTTGACCGTCCAGGTTAACGGTCAAACATCGGGTTTGGCCAAATTGTTTATTTTGGTGTATAGTTCGAGCCAGGATGTTATAGATCGAAAAGATTGACCAGGATGTTTATTTTGGTCAAAGTTCAGGCCATACGAAAATATTAACCCTAAATGTTTACATGTTTCATTGTTGAAAAGGTTCTCTTCGTATTAGCTGTTGAAACGAGCAGCATCAACACTAGACAAATCAATCGACTAATCAATTTGCATTGTGTGTCCATCCCTATATCCACCAGCTGCTCTAGTAAATTTTCAAGAGAACAAACCTCGTATTTCTTTTAGTCTTATACGTTTTAAACTTTTGGAATTTAGGTTTCATTGTTTTTTCTAGTGAAAAATCTTTGGGGCTAGAATTTCTAGGCTAAATTTAGGGTAGTGATTTGAATAGGTTCATCCAAATCATTTTTCTAGTTATACCCAATAATATTATAAAATAACAATCACCTGAATGTCTCAAATAAAAAAATTTATAAGAACTATACTAACTACTACGAATCTAGAGGAGGACGGGACCGGGACCAGGGGTGGCCACCCCCTTGAATCCGCCACTGCTAGGCTGTCCAGCATGTCCTCAATGGTGATGATTATCCCACTAGCAAACATCATCGTCAGAACTCAAGAACAACCCAAACTTCTTGAGCAGTGGGAACTGAAGGTAACAAAGATCATAAAGAACCAACTGATCTTGACGAAACCAAAGCCGTGGTTCCGTCGATGAAGCCCAAAAGATAAAGCCCCATCAATAGAGCTTCACCTGGTGATCGCAAAAAGGCAAGTTCATCGGGGTCAGCTTCAGAAGCAATTGAGCTGCGGGATTGATTGTGTGATTAAATAATCGTCAGTGGCATTCATGGGCAAGTCGGTGGTAGTGCCAGTGGCCATGGTGATTGAGGAATTGTCCTCGAAAATTGAAGAAATTTGTTTGGCTTGAAGAAGAAGAAGGGGAGGAGATGAACTATCCCAGGGAATAATGTGATTGTGAGAGAAGAAGGAAAAAAAAAGCGTTTAGTAATAATAACTCGAATTTTTAGGAGAGATTCAATAATATATCTTATACCATCTACTAGTACTAACACACTTTTTTATAAGATGATCGACTTATATATAAAACAAGGTCGCCAAAATTCAAACGCAAGACCTCTCGATTAATTATTTTCAATTAGACACGCCCTAATTTTCAGTACCAACTAACTGTTGTACCTAATTTAACCATTTTCCTCCACAACCAAAGTGGTTCTCGACTTCTCGTGACGCACCCTATAACCCTTCTCCGCCCCCCTCATCATTCCCAGGGTTTCCTCCGTAGTTACGCAGAGTTAGCAATCACATGAAAACATGGTGGAACCCAATGAGAGTAGGGGTGTTCAAATGGTTACCATGGTTATAACCAAACCAAATAAGGCTAAATTTCATTAACCATGGAATACATTATCATAACCAAACCGTCCAAACTAATACAACAACCAAATTAACCAAACTAAAGTTTAATCGGTTTGGTTAATTGGTTAACCAGATTAACCAATATAAAATCACATTATCATTGACGATGAAAATTTTCCGGTTAATACAACAATTCGCAATTTATATAATGAATAAAACATAACAACCAACACGTAGTTATAATTGACCCTTAACAAAAATACATGCAACTAAGACAATTATCATACGATTAGTATAGAAGTATTGACCTAACAAAAATTTATGACAATGGTATGGGGTTAATGAATTGTTGTTTTTGTGTAAATTGACTTAGTCTCTTAGCAATTATCATAGGCTGGAAATGACATTCCTTTCAAGTTTTCATCCATCATAATGTATGAAATTTATCTAAATTAGGCGTCCATATGTTGTGGTCTACATTTTACATATACAAATATACACTATATGAGCAATATTGAGCTTTATATTTTATGAGTCTAAAAGGGATGAACGTTAACTCTTGAGTGGTTATGCAAAGTATTAAGTATGTGTATATAATATATGTTAGATATATGACTAATTACTTAACTGGTTAATTTGGTTTGACTGGTTAGGAGTGTCTGAAACCAAACCAAACCACCTAAACCAAACAAGCTAAAAACTTTAACCAAACCAAACCAATTATCCAAATTAACCAAACCAAATTATCCAAATAGTACCGGTTAAAACGGTTACCATGATAACCAAACCGTTTGAACATCCCTAAATGAGAGGGCCACTTCGTATTAAAGGGGTATATAATAGCATCCATCAACGTCCTCAAGTCCCCGATTTACCGTTTAATCTAAGCAAATCGCTTTCTTATGTGTTTCAAGGAAAAACAGATTAGTAGTCAATAGGGAGATTTAGCTCATAATTAATTAATTAATCCACTGACATGATCAAGAGAGGTAACGTATAGGCTTCATTCCAACACTACATCTAACCTCTTCTGGAATTTTTAACCGCGAAAACATATTATTCTTGACCCGCCCTAGCTCGATCTCTCATTCTCACACTCTCATTCACTCACTAATTGTTTAATCGTGTAGTTGTAGGTAGAATTTTAAGGGCTAGGGTTTCAACGCATACACACGCAAACGAAAGGGGAATTTTCAAATCTTGATATAATATCATGTGGGGGGAAATTAAATATTTAACTAATGGTGGATATAGGAGGAGAAGAAGAAGAAATCAAACAAAGATGCATCTATATCTCCCCCAATATAGCTGCCCCACACAAGTACTGATGCAACAATATTCTCTGCCTGAACAGAAAGATGGGAACAAAATTAGGAACAATTAAGTAATGGAATGATTCCATTTAGTTGGTGGCAATTTTGGAAGGATTATGAACAAGTTAGGAGAAAGAGAAGAAGAAAAGAAAAAAAGGGCAGGCAGATACAGCAAAAAGCGATGGAACAGAACACAAGCAGATGGACTTATGTGGGGAAATTAAGAAGGAGAAAAAAAGAGAGTCATTATTGAAACCCTAAAACAGATCAGATCGGCAAACAATGAAAGAAAATGAAACCCAGTTTATAATATGGCATATTTTCTTGGCCCAGAAAGCCAATCTTTGTGACTGTGTCTTTTGTTTGTGGCTCTGTCAAAGAAAAGGGTTGTCAGTGAGTCATACAGAATAGGAAAATGTGCCCTTTTCACCTTGTTCCATGCAACGACACAGAAACAAAAACCTCTTTTGTTCTTTCTTCGCCACTCTGCTCTGCCCTAGAACTAGAATCTCCAGTTTTTCTTTCATTTGTTAGTATTATTATTATTGTATTATATGTCGACAGACACACAAACAGACATTCCAATTCGAAAACCATGTTGACTGAACGGCTTGCCTTCTGGACATATATCATACCCCTATGTGACTTTCAAGGGCACTCTCCTTAGCTATAAGACAGCCCACCACTGGACTTCGCCTCAGGGAATTTCTCGATCAAGAACACAAGATGTGGATGCAAACAATTCGAGACAGAGAGAGAGCGAGAAAGGGTGGGTTGAAACTTCGTAGATTGGTTCGACTGTCGACGAACCCAAAAATTCGAGCACCATCAAACATGAACGTACGGAAAAAAAAAAAAAAGAAATTCAGGGTCAAAATTTAAATTAGCGTAGTAACAATATTATGATTGGCGATAACATTCACCTCTTTAAAATGTTTTCGCGCTAAATGTTATTATCTACAAAAACATTTTTCTCAACTAGAAACAAAACTCCGCGTCATGAATCAAAACCATCTGGGTTCCTAGAAATCATCCATGTGAGTTCCGTCTGAATGCCAAAATCGAACCCAAAAGTTTGAGCACCATCAAACATTTATGATTAGCGATAACATTCACCTCTTTAAAATGTTTTCGAACTAAATGTTATTATCTACAAAACAATTTTTCTCGACTACAAACAAAATTCTGCGTCATGAATCAAAACCATCTGGGTTCTTAGAAATCATCCATGTGAGTTCCGTTTGAATGCCAAACACATTACCAACAAAAAAAAATAGATAGAAACCATCTATCGAATGTAAATCATTTTCTAGGAGGAATCGATGGACAGCCGTGGTGATGGTAGATAAAGCAATAAAAATCATTCGTTAATTTGTTCATCTTTCCGTGTGTCTGTCGTTTTACATGTACAATACAACCATTTTACGGGAGATCACGATTCAGAAAAGGGAAGGAAACTGAAAGAGAGAGAGAGAGAGAGGGAGCCAATTATAGATCAAGGAGAAAAATCAACATTACTAATGAAAATTGAGCAGAAACAAATCTGTATTATCATCACTCGATCTTCATCGATGGAGAGGCGTTTAGATACTCTTCACCTTAGGCGGGCGATCCCCAAGGCGGAGCTCCAGATCCAACTCCTCTCTCAAACACCAACTCCCACCTGGAGGAGCAGGATTCGTACTGCTCTTCATCATGTCAACAACCATTTGATCTTCACGATGTCGCGACATCGAATTCAACCCAGGCCTTAACATGAATGGCGGACCCGACCACGACGACGACGACGTCGTGTTCTCCTCAATTCTCCTCCTCCTCTTCAATCTCGCCACATCCTCCTCCTTCTCCTCCGTCTCCTCAATTCTCCTCCTCTTTCGGTTTATCTGTTCTTGCTCCGCTGCGGAAGGGAAAAAGGACTTCTCGGAGCAACTGTTGCTGCTGTCGGCGGAAACCCTAGCTGGCGGTGAAGAAGGTGGTGGATCGGGGCTAGGGTTAGGGCTATTGCTCGCACAAGGAGCATGAATTTGCCGACAGGGATTCAGCTGAAATTGGTAGCCAGCCGACGGCGGCGACGAGGATGGCGGCGGAACATGCTGTTGAAGGGGAGAATCGGCGGGAGCGGTTGGAGAAATCGAGGACTGTTTGAGCCTGGCCCGGTCCCTCCTGTGGACGTTCATGTGGCCTCCCAGGGCCTGCGCGGACCTGAATTCGCGGCGGCAGAAGGTGCAGGAGTAGGACCTGGGAGGCCATATGCAGCCTCCCAGGGCTCCTGATGCGTCCTCCGCGAACGCCTGCTCTTCCCACGAGTCGTCGTAGGAAGAGCAAGATCGCGGCGGCGGTGCTGGTGGTGGTGCTGGTTGTTGCTGGAGATAAAGGTGGTGATGAGGGGTGGAATTGTTGAGGCCCATCCAGTAATGTGGTGGTTTCTCCATTAAAATCCCTCTCTCTCTCTACTTCCACAACCTACCTAGCTAGTTAGATAGAGAAAAATATAGTATGGGAATGGGAGAAAAAGTGGGGGAGAGAGTAGGGATGGAGATGAAGAGAGTTGGAAATTAGAAGGGTTGTTTTTTTTTTTTCTTTCTTTTGCCAACTTGTGTTGTGGAAGGTGAAAGGTGGGCATACTCTGGATTTGGAATTTTCTTCATCGATTTGAAGATTTCCCAATTGACATGAATCAACGTGTCCTTAGTGTACCACTAAGGTTTTGAATTCTATAGTCTCGCGAGTCAGTTTTCTAATAATACAAGTAATTTACTTCATCTTGAATTCCCATTTCTATCTTCTTAGCTTGATCTGTTCAACTCTAGCTCATTTATCCCAAGTAAACAAACGGATAAATAAATGATATATATATATATATATATATATATATATATATATTGCAGTGAACATGACGCTGAATTACCATTGAAAGTGTGTGAATAAATCACATTTTTTTTATACAAACAAGAGTCTCTTGTATAATGGTCCAACATAAATTCCCATTTTTCTTCCTCTCTTCCTGGCACTTTGCCTGAATTTAAACATGTACATGGAAACTTCTGGCGATTAAATGAAGAGAAAGTTGTCACCATGAAAAGACAATCGTCTTTTTTCTACCAAAGAAAAGACAAAACATCATTTAGTTGTTTGTAAAAATATCCGCATCTAAATTTTTTTTACTATGGCATACTATCTACTCTATGAGTTAATTGAATTTTGGGATATCATACTATTTTTTAATCGTTAACAAATAAACCTTAGCTTATATATCTTCAGCAGCTAAATCATAAACACTAAGATGATACATCTATTTATGTTGAATTTATTTCGACGAATTAGAATCATTTATTAATATTTCTCAGGTAAATATGCGTACACCTAGGCGCTGAGCAGTGACACAATGCTTTTCCTAGGCCCTAGACATACAATTAGGTGTTCATAAGGCCTACGCGAAGCACGGAACGATTAAATGACATGAGGGGTAACTAATTGTAGCTAATCTTCCCAAAATAAGGTCATCTCCACTGTCGTTATATTGGAAGAGTCCTTCACTCTTCGTTCATCAATTTGTAATTTTAATTCTAGGTGAATGAGACAAAGACTTAGAACTCAGGCATTGCAAAGGCTTCTCCTTTTTGCTCCAACGCTTCTCCCTCTGCCATGCTTTTTCGTTGTTGCCGATTATAGACGAACAAGGATCCACAAATTTGACCGTTGTTCTTCTCCAACTCTAGTGGACCTGACCGTCTGCTTTACTTTGTCGACCACAAAGCAGCCACAAACCACAAAATTTTCAATTCTTCTCTAACTTCGGTCGACCTGGCCCTCTGCTCTGCTTTGACCATCATCTACTATAGACCAACCACAACCCACGACTCCTATAAATTTGTAACTCTATCAAATCATGTCATATTATGCTTGTTGTTGAAGGTTGGTTATGACATTTAACTAAAGTAAAACAAATGCTATGAAATTGTTAACTGTACTAATATTATATTTACTTAAAACGCCTGTGAACCGCCTAGGCATGCTAGGCGTTAAGCAGAATGCCAATGCAAGGCGCTAGCCCCTAGCGGCTTCTTTAACGGTGTTTTTTCTAATTAATTTGATCTTAGATTACATGATTTAAAGAGTTAAATTGGATTTTACTTATTGTGATTTAACATAGAGTATTATGCCTCAAAGTCTCATTAATTCGAGATTTAAATAATATTTTCCTATTATAAATATGTTATATCTCATATTTGCTCTAATTATTGCAGAAATTTCCAAAACAAATACAATTAAGTGAGTAGTATTATAGTAGTAGTGATGTTTATGTACCATGGGTCCTTAAAATCAGTTTTCTTAATTTGAGTAGATGGTGACATTCATATAAAAAAAACATTTCGAAGATAGTGACAAACTATTATAAATGATGAAGTAAGTTTGGGGACAAACTGAGAGACATCTCTAACTGAAATCCCTCCTTTAAGAGATCCAGCCAAATTAATGTTGATGCGTTGTTTGTTCTCACAACATGGTCTAAAGAGACCCACCGATTTTTGGGCTGATCTTCATGGCTTATGCAAAATTTATACGCATCGTGATCATTAATTATGTTATAATATCTGTAGAAACTAGAAACCAGGAGAAAAAGCGAATTGGTGATTGATTTTTCGGAAGACCCAAGTGCTGGAAATAGTGATTGTGAAACTATCGAATCAAAGTAATTAATTCCTTCTTCATCCGTCAGTTAGGTCCCAAATGCTGCAAATAAAGATTGTAATATGAAAATGGAGAAGGTCTATTACAGACAATTTAAGAGTTGGGGATCGTTTAACATCTTATAGACTTCTTGATCGTAAAGGGCAAGTGAACGGCTATTTGCCGCCAACCAAATTGCTATTTACCGCCAACCAAAAAAAAAAAAAAGTTGAATTCAAATTTTGAATTCTCCCTTCCTTCCCTTCCTATAAATTCGAACCTTCCTTCCCTTCCTATAAATTCGAATACCATAACATTTGACTCATTCCAACAAAAACACTTTTGTCGACGAGTCCAGTGCCTCCGTCGCCGGCCAACCTCCCGTCGTCCTCAATCGCCGGAAAACAAGTAAGTTTACTTTTTCCGGCAAGTTTTTCAATTTTCCGGCAATTTTTCCAGGTTTCCGGCGAAAAATACGGTGGGCCGAAAAGAATTTATGGCGGCGCGTTCGGCGACCGGCCGAATAAAAATTGCGGGCGGGGCGACGACGGGCCGAAAAAATATTTCGGCCGGGCGTCGCGCCGGCCGCAAAAAAAATTCGGCCCGGCGGCGCACCGGCCACAAGATTTTTTCGGCACCGCACCGCAAATTTTTTTCGGCCCGGCGGCGCACCTGGCGCAAATTTTTTTCGGCCCGGCGGCGCGCCGGCCGCAAATTTTTTCCGGCCCGGCAAGTTTTTGTATTTAATTTAATATAATATGTTAATTAATTAGTCAATAAAAAATTACTTAATTAGTTATTAGAAATTAGTGTTAATATTTTTTTAAGTTGGTGTATAAATGTTTTTTTTTTGTAATAGGCGTATGAATCTTTAATTACTTAGATTAGTTAATAGAAAATTAATTAATTAAGAATTGGTTTAACAATTAATGTTAATAGTACATTAGTTACTAGAAAATTAATTAATTAGTAATTAATTAACAATTAATGTTAATAGTACATTAGTTAATAGAAATTTAATTAATTAGTGCGCATTGGTGCGGAACCCGCCTCGAGCCAATTGATGCGGTCAATGTGAGCTAGTGGACCACCATTATACAAGTTCTCGTACTTCTAGAAATGTTGTTGGATTTCTTGGACAATCGTCGATCTCATGAGCAGATAGTGACTATCATCCCCATAAATACAATGAGAAAGTGCCCTAAAACCACAATGGCCGTCTGGACTAGGGTTGAAATCGCCTACCAGCAAAGGTCGAACAAACTCTGGAAAAAGCTCATCGATGTAAGGGTAAGAATATTGCCCTGGGGGGCTCTGGGATGAGTAATCTACAAAAATATACCAAACAGTCAAAATTACTTGGACAAATTTTACAAACATAAACCAATTACTACTAGATGGACTACAATATTTAACCAATTACTCACCTGTATCATGCTCGTCGGATTCACCTCCACTCAATCGGGATCTACCTCCACTCGATCGGGATCTGCCTCCACTCGATCGGGATCTGCCTCCACTCGATCGCCCCCTGCCTCCACTCGAACCAGGCCCAGTACTCCTCGAACGAGACCGCTCATAATATGAACGAATGCGACTGGTGCTTGTTCGAGGCCGTCCTCTCGGATTCTCATTCACTTCCGGTTCCCTCACATTGTCCTCTGCTGGGTGAAGCCCATAGAATAGGGCATCTCTTGCTTGTCTCACTGCTTCAGGACCTCTTTCTTCCACCTCAACAGTAAGACGCCTAAAGTGTTCTCGTTGAAGCTCAATTTCATCATTGACTTGTTGTTGACGTGGGGGGTTTTTATAATCCAAAGTCCGCCAAAATACATGCAACCCTTGAGCATAGAATTGACGTCCTTCTTCCTTAGCTTGAACAACCTGGCAAGCACACTTGAGCCCATGTGTCATCTGAAAATGACACGCACAACTGTCCTTCAACTCCGCCGCCCCATCTAACATCAGTTTGATTGCCTCACAACTAACGACCCTCCTCAAAAACGTGCACGGAGGCTCAATTGCCCTACTCAGATTGCGGTTAAGTGACTTGTGCAGCTCATTCACCACTTCTAGAAACTGATGTTCCATGTAGTTGTGGTTCTTCGCAAAACAAGTGTCAATCGCTCCTCTACCAGACACAAGGAAAGTCTTGAATGAAGAGTGAGATGACTCAACTCTATTCGAGCTCGTGTTACCAAGATGAAACATATGGTTCGTGTAGCACTTTGCCCACATTGTCTGATGAGGCAACCACTCACCTCGCACGTAGTCGACCATTTTTATGTTCTTCTGTGTCCAGACCCTCTCAAACTCATTAATCTTTTGAAGAAAATCCTCCTGAGTCCACCCATATTTATGTTCTTCTGTGTCCAGACCCTCTCAAAACCCTCTCTTTTTGAAATTCCACCCAGTAATTGCTCAAACTTTTGCTTCACACAGTTGTTGACGTGCCATAAACATAGTAGGTGGACAGTATGTGGGAGAGGGAAGACCACAGGAATAGAAGCAAGCAGACCACCTTCTTTGTCTGTCACAATGACATTCGGAACCGTATCACCGAGCAACCCTTTAATACATCGCAGCACCCACTCATATGTTTCCTTTGTTTCCTGCTTAATAATTGCACATGCAATGTTGAAATTCTTCTTGACTGGAGTAACCCCAATAATCTCAACCCATGGCCAGCCATACCTATTCGTCTTGTAGGTCGAGTCAATGATGATGACGTACGGCC